GTGCACTGTTGGTGGGAATGTAAATTGATACAGCCACTATGGAGAACAGTATGGAGGTTCCTTAAGAAACTAAAAATAGAACTTCCATACGACCCAGCAATCCCACTACTGGGCCTATACCCAGAGAAAACCATAATTCAAAAAGACACGTGCACCCCAATGTTCATTGCAGCTCTATTTACAATAGCCAGGTGATGGAAGCAACCTAAATGCCCATCGACAGATCAATGGATAAAGAAGATATGGTACATATATACGATGGAATATTACTCAGCCATAAAAGTGAAAGAAATTGGGTCATTTGCAGAGACGTGGATGGATCTAGAGACCGTCATACAGAGTGAAGAAAGTCAGAAAGAGAAAAACAAATATCGTATATTAATGCATAAATGTGGAACCTAGAAAAATGGTACAGGTGGACCTGTTTGCAGGGCAGAAATATAGACACAAGTGTAGAGAACAAAAGTATGGACATCAAGCAGGGAAAGTGGCGGGGGCGTGGTGTGGTGGTGGGATGAATTGGGAGATTGGAATTGACATGTATACACTAATATGTATAAAATAAGTAACTAATAAGAACCTGCTGTATAAAAAAATAAAATAAAATTCAAAAATTAAAGAAAAAGATATAAAGATTTGAATAATAAAATTAAGAATGTTGATCAAATGGACACAGAGAGAACTCTGCATACAGTAATTAGAGAGCAATGTTCTTGAGTCACATGGAACATTTTATAATAATGTGATCCCCTTCTAGAATATAAACTAAATCTCAACAAATTTCAAAGCATATGTATTACTCAGGTCACTTTCTCTGAGCCAATTACGATGAAGTTAGAAATCAGTCAGAAAAAGCTTACCAAAATTAGGATATTTGAAAACACCTCTGGGAGTTCCCCGGTGGTCCAGTAGTTAGGACTTGGTACTGTCACTGCCAGTGGCCCCTGGTTCGGGGAGATAAGATTTCACAAGCAGTGTGGCTCAGCCAGAAAAAAAAAAAAGAAAACAGTTCTAAGTTACTTCCTAGGTCAAAGACAAAAGCAAGCATACACTTAGACAATGAAAAAAAAAAGTATAAACATTGCAAAGGAGCAGATAAAACTACTGTCATTATTTACAGAAGATGATTTCATAACTCAAGGACCTAAAATGGCTGAAAAATTACTGAAAGCAAAAGACATCAGTTAGATGGTGAAATACGGAAGTAATGTACAGAATCTGAGAGTTTTTATAAAAGACACTAACAACTAGTTAGAAGGAATAAGGTCAGAGAGGGCAAAGGTGGGAACCAAATGCTTCACATGCATTTTTATGATGTTTTGATTTTTTTGCCACAAAGTGAATATACTATCTCATCCAAAAAAAGTTATTCACACAGGTGGATGCTGTAGGACACAGGAAGACCTTCCCAAGGACACTTGGGTGTGGACAGTTTTTAATTACAGGGTGTTGGGCATGTGGGAAGTGCAGACAGTAAAAAGCCTCAGGGACTAAGGGACCCGGGCACCTGAGGGGCACAGCAGAGAAGACGTTTCTAGAACAAAACTTCTGACATCTGTGTCTAGGCTCTGGGATGGGAGGCCCCTGGCGGTGGCTTGTGTGGGGACAGGTGGAGCAGATGAGGGCTCCTCCGGAGGCTCCTGCGTGACCCCGTGGGTGACTTCCATATGTCACAGGTGTGACCCGTTGTCCCTGACCCCGTCCTAATGTGACATTTCTCCTGGGTCTCCCATTTGTGACGTCAACGTTTACAGCTCCCTCTGTGTCTGACCCAGTGTATGACCCTCCCATGTGATGCCTCTATGCACCTGTCACTGTGACCCTTGCCCTCTGGCTTCCAACTGAGTTTGGCTGGTGTGGAGGAAGGAACTAGAAGGTGTGAACGTAAATGCAGACCAACCAAAGGGGACCAGCAGAGGCTCTTCATGCCCAGCTGTGTGTGTGTGTGTCGGGGGTGTGTGTGTGTGTCAGCCACTAGCCCTGGAATCTGGCAGAGACTCCAAGGCGGGTTGAGGAGAAGGAAGGATTCACGGCGGGACAGAGGGGAGGCTCAGGGCTGCCCTGCTGGAGGCTGCTGGCCTGGGGGGGCTGGAGGCCGGCTGACCGGAAGTGGGGTGTCCTGTGTGCTTGGTCAGGGGCCATGTCTGCCTTTCTCTGGCTGGTCCTGAGTTGGAAACAGGGACAAAAATTAGGGAAGCTGTCAGTTACTGATGGCGGCTTGGACATTTTAGGTCAATTATTGCAGAAGTGATTATTTAGCTTCTTGGATTATCCCTAGAGATAGGGATCTGCCTCTCACGAGTCTGACATAGGCTGGCTTCTGGGTTGTTTATTGTAGATAAGGGGTTGGCTTTCTAGGCAGGTTGCTGTAGATTGTGGGTCCGAGTTCTATTTTTGTATATAGTCTGAGCACTGTGGCCACTGTCCACGTGTAGATTCAGGCTCTCCCAGCTTGGAGTTTCTGATTCTGCGGTGGGTTCACTCTTGGCCAAAAGAACTCTCGTCACCTGGGGTCTCCCTCTGGGTCCTGTGTGGGTTAATGGGGTGGAGTTTTTAACGGTACTTTGAGACCGGCGAGGCTTCTCCCATCCTCCACCCCCACTCAGCCACTCCTTCTGTGTAGTCACCTGTCTGGGGATAATCCTGCCCTGGGATCTACTGCAGTCAGGGCAAGTCAGGTCCTGCACGAAGTTCCGAGGCAGGGAGCGTACGTCCTTTACAGGGCTGGCGACACGTGCATTTTTGGGGGGCGGGGGGACGTGCCATGCGGCTCGTGAGACCTTAGCTCCCCGGCCAGGGATTGAACCCAGGCCCTCGGCAGTGAAAGACTGCCGAGGGCCCTGGACCGCCAGGGGACTCCCACCATCTGCAGCCCCCTTTGGTGAGGAAAACGAGGAAAACGGAGCACAGTAGTTTGGAAGTACTGTTAGCGAGTATCAATAGTTTGTCTTTGAGTATTTCCTTATAATTGGCAGTTTTCTTAAAGCCAAATGTTATGGCCAAAAATAGCCTCTCAATGTTTGTTCTGAGATCCAGAAACCTGGAAGGTGGCCTCAGGGGTTTCTGGGCTTCCTGGAACCTTCTGGAAACTAACAGGGAGAGCGGGGTAGAGGTTTCTGGCTCACCTTGGGCTCCGCCTCAGCCATGAAAGCAGATTCTCAGAAGTACTTAGGAGAAACATACGCCCCAGGGCGGCTGGTTTTCCACTGAATCAACCTCTATTAAATATTTCCACTTCCAGGTCTGTGGTTAGGGATCATCACCTGTGCTGTCTCTCAGGCTGTGTGTTTTCTAGGCTTTATTGCCCGGCTAAATTGCAAAAAGCCTGTCAGCAGGTAACTACACTCGTTGCTGTCCTCTCCTGGCAAACACACAGATCCAGTTTTACCTCTCTCT